CCACCCCAGGTATGTTTCTGTTGTGACTTAAAAAGCCACTGTGTGGGGGGGGCGAAAACGTAGTCAATTAAAGGATCACATTATACTGGCATTTGTGTTTATATAGCCATTGTGTCGGTATTTTATACATATAATTCCATCCGTCAAGTAGTTCCCACCTCCAACAGTGGTCATAATTGCAGGTGATTTAGGCACCTCCGCTAACACTGAGATCTGAGCGGAAATGCCCATCTGCGGTGCAGCGGATCATTTCCAATAGTCTTGCAGTCTTCCCTCCCCTTTTCATGCCGTTGCCAGGTCTATCATAATGAACGAATATCCGTCCATCTTAAGAGTGTCATGGCCTTACACTATGGCTCTCTCTCCTCCCCTCAAGGAAAGGTTCCATGATGTTGGTGAGGTGGCTCTTGCTTTAGGGGAATTGGTCTGTGCTCCAGATCCCCGAATTAGCCTTAATGCCTTCCACACCCCCCCCCAGGCGCTGTATAATCCTCCGGGTTTAGCGCTTCCCCCTTGATTATAATAATAATAATAATATGGCTCTCTCTCAGCTCCGCCTTCAAGGAAAGCTTCCTCAAGTCCCATATTCTCAGGTAGCCTGAAGACCTCCAACCTCGACAGTCCTCCCGCCTCCCAATCCCTCTTCCCTCGGTGGAAGTTCACCCCCACCTCATGTAGTCCCCTCTTCCCCTGGTCTTCCTCCATAGTTTCCCTCCAACCTCCTTCCTCTCCTGTTACACTGCTGGACTCTTCTACCTTCAACCAATGCATATATCTGGGTTCATACTCCCCCCCCCCCCTCAGACCTCTTTGGTTGCCTCCATAGTTACTCCGACTTTTACTTGCAATGCCTTGCCTGTCTCTGACATTATGGCATCGTCGGCTTCCTTAACAACCGAGACATTAGACACTATCTCCAGCTATATTGTGGAGACGACATCCCGATGGACACCAATGCACCTCCTTCTACCCCTTCTATTTCACGACCCTCTCACAACAATCTATTTCTCGGCAATATTCTAATTCTTCCTTACCCGCTTACCATTGCCACCACACATTGACTTTACTGATCCTAAAAGTCCATAGGTTTTATCGTTTCTTATTGTTGCCATTTTTTATTTCTGTACATAATGTCTTTTTTACAATGTAGTCCAAAATCACCAACCGGATTCATTCAAAACAAGTGATCCACTGACCGGATTCGTCCAAGTAATAAGTGATCCACTGACCGGATTCGTCCAAGTAATAAGTGAACCAATGACCACATTCAAAAGCTGAAAGAGTTTCTAGGTGCCCTTAACACCCAACCAGATTCATTGAACAACAAGGTATCCTCTGACCTGGTTCATAAGCTGACAGGGTATTTAGGCACTCTTATCAAACACCAAATAGTTACTGCTAGCAGCGGCAAGATTGTTTCAAACGCATATACGTACAAATACAAATAGATACAATTACAAATAATCAGATCTGCACTTTAAGGAGGTTATTAGTAGAATATACAGTACAACAACCAAAAAATCACGTCGTGAAAGCCTCTGTAGTTGATGAATAATAGGGTAGTTGATGAGTGGAACAGTTTCAAATTTAGGTTGGATAAGTACATGAGTGGGAAGGGTTGGATTTGAGTAGGACTTTCACATCATAGCTTATTTCTTGGGTAGCATTGAAAATTGGGTTGGGCAAATGTTTTGTTGGTGGGATGAATTGTAAAGGACTTGCCTAGTATGGGCCAACAGGCCTGCAGTGTTCCTCCTTTCTTATGTTCTTATGTAAATGGGCTACTGCATGGATTACATGCAACTTCTGTGGAAAATGGGCCTCTAATCATGTGCAGATATTCAGAAATTATCTAGAAGAGATATTAAACCAGGGAAGTGTTTTTGGGTATGCTCAAATGAGATTATTGTGTGGAAAAAAAATCACATTGGTATTAAAAGATGAAAACGGCTTTCATAGAAAGCTTGACAGCATTCTATAACAGATGGGATAATAAAAGGACTGGGCCAGATGGGGCTATCGCCCCTGGTGCAGTTGCTGTCCTGGTAGACAGTAACTGTAAGAATAGAGAAATGACTGTTGGTGACCTGGAGGGAGACAGGAGCTCTAGTGGGGAAACAGGTGTAGACAAGAACATGCAAAAACCAGCGTTACAAACTAGCAATACTACGGTAGATAGTAAACAAGGGGTTGCCCCCGAAAAATAGTGAAGATAAAATACCAGAAATAACTGGTGAAGGCACCACTGTTAGTAAAAGTGCTGAAGACAGTAATAAGACAGATAAATACGCATCAATAGGGAATGCAGTCACAAAAAACGAAGGCAAATTGAAACCAGGCCTATGCAGATTCTATGTATTAGGTCCCCTCAGGGAAGGTTCCTTGATGTTGGTGAGGGGCTCTTGATTTAGGGAATTGGATCTGTGCTTCAGTTCCCCGAATTAAGCCTGAATGCCTTCCACATCCCTCCCAGGCGCTGTATAATGCTACGGGTTTAGCGCTTCCCCTTGATTATAATAATAATAATATGCATTAGGTATCTGCAGGCATGGAATATCTGGAAAAACAGATCGGATATGAAACTTTGACCACCCCAGGACAACAGAAGAAGCAACCTTCCTTTCTGTAAGTTTTTCCACCACGAAATGTGTCGCTGTTCAGCTCAGGAAAGACAGTACTGTAACTTGTAATGCCAGGCACACCACCTAAAGGGGACAAGAAGATACAGAACATGCAAACCATGGGAAACCCGGGTAGCCACAACCACTCCAGAGAGATTTTTTTTTTTTAGGGGCCAGGAAGGAAAAAAAGCTGGTAGGAAATGACAGAAATCGTACACCAACTCCGATCATTTCTGGAGTGGAATCAGTCAATGGCCTCCACTCCAAAATAACAGATATTAGTGCCAGGTAAAAAAGACTCCCTTCCCCATCCATACCACCAATCTGAAGACATTTATCTTCGCAAATATACAGGGTCTAAAGCCGGCAACGAACAACAAAATACCTTTCATCCATGGACTGCTTAGAGTCAAACTCAATGTTCCCAGTTTTTACAGAGACCCACATAAAGGATCACTTTGACAATGAAATATGGATCCCGGGTTACAACCTATACAGATGTGACAGAGTGAACAGGCAAAGAGGGAAGGATTGGCTTGTATATCACAGTCACTTATATGTTCAGAACTACTAAATGCCTCAGATAATATAGTTGAAGTTCTGGCAGTATAGATCAAGAACCAAAACCTGGTCACTGTGGTTGTGTACAAGCCTCCGGATGCAACTTCCCAACAATTCCAGGAACAGCTTGTGAAAATTGATCACTGTCTGGAAAATCTTCCAACTCCTACCCCCAACATCTTGCTCTTGGGGGATTTCAACCTAAGGCACCTAAAATGGAGGATCCAAACCTATGTCTAGAACAAATTAACTCTGTGGCACTCGAGGTATGCCCAAGGCATATTCCTTTAAGAAAAAGAAGGAAAAGATGTAAACTAGAAGAAGGCAAAATAATAGGGCGGCTAAAAGAGGCCACTGTATCTGTAATACGTAGGGAGACACTGGTCAGAGAAATAGCAAACATCGAACTTAAGTCAAAGGAATCGTACAGGAGTCAAGAAACTCAGGAAGAACTAAAAGCCATAAATGAAATTGAAATAAATCCAAAATATTACTTTTCCTATGCCAAATCAAAGTCGAGAACAACATTCAATATTGGGCCCCTACTTAAACGAGATGGGTCCTACACAGATGAGAGCAAGGAAATGAATGAGCTGCTCAAGTCCGAATATGACTCGGTTTTAGCAAGCCCCTAACCAGACTGAGAGTCGAAGACCTAAATTATTTTTTATGAGAGAGAGAGAGAATTTGGCAGACTGGAACCTATCTGATATTACCATGAAGCCAAATGACTTTGAAAAGGCGATAAATGACGTCCTTGCATTCTGCCCCAGGCCCAGACTCATGGAACTCCGTGTTCATCAAAAAACTGCGAAAAAACCCTATCATGTGCTTTTAACATCCTATGGAGAGAGAGCATGGACACAGGGGTAGTTCCACAGCTGCTATAAACAACAGACATAGCCTCATTCCACAAAGGTGGCAGTAAAGCAATAGAAAAGACCTACAGACCAATAGCGCTAATGCCCCATATCCTAAAAATCTTTGAAAGGGTTCTGTGAAGCAAGATCGCCACCCATCTACATACCCATCAGTTACACAACCCAGGGCAACACGGGTTTAGAGCAGGTCGCTCCTGTCTGTCCCAACTATTGGACCACTGACAAGGTCCTAGATGCTCTAGAAGACAAACAAATTGTAGATGTAGTATACACAGACTTTGCAAAAGCTTTTGATAAATGTGACAATGGTGTAACAACGCACAAAATGCGTGATAAAGGAATAACAGGAAAAGTTGGTAAATGAATCTATAATTTCCTAACAAATAGAACACAAAGAGTAGTAGTAAACAGAGAAAGTCTGAGGCGGCTTTGATATAAAGCTCTGTTCCACAAGGCACAGTACTCGCTCCCATCCTGTTCCTCATCCTCATATCTGACATAGACAGGGATGTAAGCCACAGCACCGTGTCTTCCTTTGCAGATGACACCCGAATTTGAATGAGTGTCCGCCATTGAAGACACCGCAAGGCTCCAGGTGGACATCAACAAAATCTTTAAATGGGCAGCAGAAAACAATTTATTTATTTATGTCTTTGCAAATAGTACATTGAGATTTTGTATTTACAATAATGAGTTGCAATGCAAAGAGAGCCTCTATTATGCCTAGGCATTATGGGCCAACTTAACATTATCGGCTTACAGACTACTTTTTTTTTTTTTTTTTTTTTATTATTCACCGGTGTTCTCCCGGCCCGGGTCTTACTACTTAACACTAAGAATTGTGTCATAGTTGTACAGTATAATATTAATTATATCATAGTTGTACAGTAGATTATTAATTATAAGTGAATCTAACTTATATAAGACAAAAGATTAGATTAGATTAGATTAGATTTTGCCACCGAAGTGGCTAGTTTATTGTGCACCCCATATCCATCCTGTGGACGGTAGCGCGAGAGAATATGGATACACAAAAGGCCTAGGAACTAGGCCCCAAAGGGTTAACAGGAATACATATGGATTTATATCTACATATCTATAGTTCACTTATCTGTTACAAGCAAATTTAGGAAATTTGCTTAGTATATCTGGTATCTTATTTTCATTAATAAGATATCTTGACATGTCACATAGGTTATTATACTGTCTGTCTCTGTATTCCTCAATAAGTGGACAATTAAGCACATAGTGTTCAAGAGAGTGACCATATGCCTGATAAGATAAGATAAGATAAGATAAGATTTCGTTCGGATTTTTAACCCCGGAGGGTTAGCCACCCAGGATAACCCAAGAAAGTCAGTGCGTCATCGAGGACTGTCTAACTTATTTCCATTGGGGTCCTTAATCTTGTCCCCCAGGATGCGACCCACACCAGTCGACTAACACCCAGGTACCTATTTGCTGCTAGGTGAACAGGACAACAGGTGTAAGGAAACGTGTCGAATGTTTCCACCCGCCGGGAATCGAACCCGGGCCCTCCGTGTGTGAAGCGGGAGCTTTAGCCACCTGATCACATAATTTACATTTAGTTTGATCATCTGTGTGTCTCCCAAACTGCCAGAAGTACTTGTGACCAAGCCTAAGCCTGGCCACTACAACATCAGTCAGTCTGTTCACATTGCAAGTTGCTCCATAAACATACTTATCTACGTTCATGTTATCATAGTGGGTTATAGATCTACTCAGGCTTCTAACTGCATTCCTATAACAATCATTTTCATTATTCACTTCTCTCCTAATATTATTCCTAATGCTAGACACAGTTATACCAAAGTTATATTCTACATTCTCCTTCTCGATACTCTTCTTGGCTAACATATCAACTTTATCAGGTGACTTCAATATAAATCTCCTGCAAGACCAGGACCCACACGTTACTGAATTCACAAACACAATGAGTAACTGTATGTTGCTACCAACAGTAACAAAACCTACAAGAGTTACAGAGACTAGTGTTTCCCTACTTGACCACATCTGGACCAACACCATATCCCCTTTAAAATCAGGCATAATTACAGATAATACCACAGACCACTACCCTACTTTCCTCATAACAACTCTTGGTAAATTACCCCAAGACACTACTAAAGTCACCTTCAGACTTCACAATGAGGCAGCCATTAATAACTTCACAACAGCATTAGCAAACATTGATTGGCACACTGAGCTAGAAATCAATACAGATATTGACGAATGTATTAATAATTTTCTAAAAAAGACTCAATACCTCTATAACAAGCACTGCCCTAAAAAAACTAAGCAGATGACAGCTAAGAGACTGAACAGTCCCTGGCTAACACCCAGCATTCTCAAATCCATAAATACAAAACACCAATATGAAAAACAGTACAGAATGGGTCACATAACCAGAGACCAAACAAAACGTTACTCGTCAATCCTAACCAGCCTGATAAGAAGGGCAAAAAAATTGTATTATGAGAACAGATTATCCAACTTACGAGGTGATATAAAAAAGACCTGGAAAACCCTATCAGAAATTCTGGGAACAAAAAAGATATCACGAAATAGCGAAATAAAATTAGCAAAATCAGATGAAACCCCAACTCCCACCAAACAGAAACAGCAAACAGACTCAATGATTTCTTCTCCACTATAGGACAAAACCTTGCCAATAAAATCCCAAGCTCAGATACCCCACCAAATGACTACCTCACCGGCAACTACCCGAACACACTGTTCCTAGCTCCGACTAACCCATACGAAGTCTCCCTTATTATCAACGCACTAAAAAACAAGGCAGGAGATTTAAATACCTTACCACCCTTTATATACAAAAAAGTGTCACAAGTGCTATCACCAATCATTGCAACACTTCTTTAACAAATCCATTGAATCCTCCACCTTCCCTACAGTACTCAAAATAGCAAGGGTCACCCCGATCCACAAAGGAGGAGACCAAACAGAGTTGAATAACTATAGGCCAATATCCAACTTACACCCTCTCTCAAAAATCTTCGAAAAAATTAATTCATAAACGAATCTACTCCTACCTTATCTCCCAAAACATACTCAAACCCCTGCCAATTGGATTCAGGCCTAATAAAAATACTAATGATGCTATTATACACATGCTAGAACATATATACACTGCAATAGAGAAAAAAGAAGTCCCACTGGGGATCTTCATTGACTTACGTAAAGCTTTTGATACAGTTGACCATGACTTGCTCCACGTAAAATTATCACACTATGGTATAAGAGGGCACTCCCTCAACTACCTCAAGTCATACCTCAGCACAGAAGCCAATATGTGTACGCAAATGGGGCAAACTCTTCTGCACAACCAATTACAGTTGGTGTCCCACAGGGAAGTGTCCTTGGCCCTCTTCTCTTTCTCCTATACATAAATGACCTAACCAAATGCTTCTCAATTACTCAAACCCACACTATTTGCTGATGACACAACATACGTCTTCTCCCACCCGAGCCCAGTCACGCTAGCCAATACTGTAAATACCGAATTACAGAAAATATCTACCTGGATGAGTACTAACAAACTTACACTAAACATTGACAAAACCTACTTCATTCAGTTTGGTAACAGAGCTACAGATGTCCCTCTTAACATAATGATAAACGATCACCTATCACAAAGCTAACAGAGGGAAAATTCTTAGGAATCCACCTTGATAATAGACTCAAATTTCATACACATATACAACAAATTTCTAAGAAAATTTCCAAGACTGTAGGCATACTATCGAAGATACGGTACTATGCTCCACAGTCAGCCCTCCTGGCCCTATATCACTCTCTTATTTACCCCTATCTCACCTATGGAATTTGTGCATGGGGCTCAACAACAGTTAACCATCTCAGACCACTAATTACCCAACAAAAGGCTGCAGTTAGAATGATAACAAATTCTCACTACAGGCAGCACACCTCACCAATATTCAATACACTAAACCTACTCACCATACAAAACATCCATACTTATTACTGCACCTATTACATACATAGAACACTTAACTCTGATATTAACCCTCCCCTCAAACATCTCCTTGCCAACCTCAACAGAACACATGACCATAACACAAGCACAGATCACTCTTTGATGTTCCTCGTGTTCATCTCACACTATGCAAAAACTCAATGCACATAAAAGGCCCTAAAATCTGGAATTCATTACCTGTAATATAAAAGAAACACTACCTGTTTATAAATTCAAGTCTCTACTCAAAGATCACTTACTCACCCAAAACCAAATAAATACTGAATAACTGAACCTTATAAATTGTATATCTTAAATGTTTCTCACAATTATATCACATAAATGTTAAACCTAAAACCCAATCTAACTTTATTATTTTTTAAATACACTACCTAACAGAATCCTTCATATGACCTGTCTTTGTAATACTCACTTGTGCTTTATAGTAATCTGTTTACATTAATGTTTTATCACTGACTTCATCATTGCTTAATTAATCTTAAGTTAATTTTAAGCCAGCCCGTAATGCTATGCATAGTATAAGTGGCTTTGGCATACTGCTCTTATCTGTATTTTTTTGTACCTCTGTATGTGTGCACAAATTTATAATAAATAAATAAATAAATAAATAAATAAAAAAGTGTGTACTGAGTATTTAGCATTTAGTCTAGGGTGATTAAGTGGCTTTTGAGAAGTCTTAAATTGATTTTCAGACCGGGTTACTTTAGTATCTTCTGGTAATGAGTTCCATATTTTTGGGTCCTTTATGTGCATAGAGTTTTTACACAGTGTGATACGGACACGAGGTACATAAAAAATAGATCTGTGTCTTGTGTTATGGTCATGTTCCCTGCTAAGGTTGGTGAGGAGAAGTTTGAGTGGGGGGTTTATATTTGCGTGTATTGTTCTGTGTATGTAGTAGGCACATGAATAAGTATGGATGTTCTTAATGGTGACCAGATTTAGACTTTTGAAAATTGGTGGAGTATGCTGCCGGGAGTGGGAATTTGTTATCATTCTTACTGCTGCCTTTTGCTGGGTTATTAGAGGTCTTAGGTGATTGAATGTTATTGATCCCCATGCACAAATTCCATATGTAAGATAATGGTATATGAGTGAATGGTACAGTGCCAGGAGAGATGATTGTGGAACGTAGTGCCTTATCTTTGATAGTATTCCTACAGTCTTGGAGATTTTCTTGGTGATTTGTTGTATGTGTGTCCGGCTACTGTCAGGGTGGATACCTAGGAATTTTCCCTCTGTAAGTCTTGTGACTAATGATTCGTTTAGCGTTATGCTAATTGGATCATTGCAGCTTTGTTTCCCAACTGAATGACATATGTTTTATCAGTATTCAGGGTAAGTTTATTAGTCATCATCCAGACAGATATTTTCTGCAATTCGGCATATGACTGGGTTTGGGTGGGAGAAGACGTATGTAGTGTCATCTGCAAATAATATGGGTTTGAGTAGTTGTATCAAAAGCTTTACGTAAATCAATGAAAATGCCCAGCGGGACTTCTTTCTTTTCAAGTGCGGTATATATTAGTTCTAGCATGTGTATGATAGCATCATTTGTGCTTTTACTATTCCTGAATCCAAATTGACAAGGGTTTAATATGTTGTGTGAGACGAGGTAGGAAAAAATCCGTCTATGCATTAATTTTTCAAAGATTTTAGAGAGCAGTGGTAAGTTAGATATTGGTCTATACTTATTCGAGTCAGCTTGGACACCTCCTTTATGGATTGGAGTGACCCTGGCTATTTTGAGGATTGTTGGGAAGGTAGCTGATTCAATGGATTTGTTAAAGAGCGTTGCAATAATTGGTGACAATACTTGAGAAGCTTTTTTGTACATAAAAGCAGGCAAGTTGTTTATGTCTCCTGCCTTGTTTTTAAGGGTATTGATGATGAGCGAGACTTCTAGTGGGTTGGTTGGAGCTAGGAATAGCGTACTTGGGTAGGTACCTATGAGGTAGTCTGATGGACGGGTGTTTGAGCTTGGTATTTTGTTCGCTAGATTTTTACCTATGGTGAAGAAAACACTGAGTCTGTTTGCTGCTTCAGTTGGTGTGAGTTGGGGTTCGTCTGATTTTGTTAGTTTGATTGTTTTGTTTTTGGATGGCTTTTTAGTTCCAAGAATTTCAGATAGAGTTTTCCGGGCTTTTTTTCATATCACCTTTGATGTTTTGTAATCTATTTTCATAATACAATGTTTTCGATCTTCTTATCAGGCTGGTGAAAGTTGACGAGTAACGTTTAGACTGTTCTCTAGTTATTTGGCCCATTCTATACTGTTTTTCACATTTGTGCTTTGTGTTACTGGATTTGAGGATGCTGGGTGTTAGCCAGGGACGATTCAGTCTCTTTGCTGTGAACAATTACTCCGCTATGGAAAACGTAAGGAAATTAAAACTATATCAGAGTATAAAACACATTCCAACCACACAATACCTGGAGTTTACCTGGAGAGAGTTCCGGGGGTCAACGCCCCCTCGGCCCGGTCTGTGACCAGGCCTCCTGGTGGATCAGAGCCTGATCAACCAGGCTGTTACTGCTGGCTGCACGCAAACCAACGTACGAGCCACAGCCCGGCTGGTCAGGAACCGACTTTAGGTGCTTGTCCAGTGCCAGCTTGAAGACTGCCAGGGGTCTGTTGGTAATCCCCCTTATGTATGCTGGGAGGCAGTTGAACAGTCTCGGGCCCCTGACACTTATTGTATGATCTCTTAACGTGCTAGTTCGCTAGAGCGAAAAACTAACGTAAAAGACATGGGAGTGGTCATGTCAGAGGATCTCTCCATCAAAGACCATATCATTGTATCAATCGCATCTGCTAGAGAAATGACAGGATGGATAATGAGAACCTT